ATAGACTTGCTTATGAGACATCAGCAACATGGAGTCGATACTGCAATGGGCTGTTTGTCCGAACTCGATTACCTTAATGAGCACATCCGAACAGTGAAGAGACAGTGAGACGCTTCCGCCCCGTACCCTTCGCTTCCCACCTGTTGGTAAGTGTAGCGCTGCCAAGCGATACGTTTCAGCAACAGTGCCATCATTCTCGAGTGCGAGGTCGCTTCTCAGTCGGGTGTAGACTTCAGCACTGCAGCGATGACATTGGTTGGACAAACTGAATTTTAGGCATATGTACGCAATGTACAAGCAGGCGGTGAGTTCTCATAGCTCTCAAGTTCGCAGCGGTTCTCCAGCCACCGATAACGCCAGCAAAATTTGAAGAAAGTAAATTTTCGCGTGTCAAAACCTTCATGGAGGCTGAGCAGCTGTCTGACACTGATAGCGGATTGGCGATATGGTGTGGCACAGCACGCCTGAGGCCATTGTCGGCCTAGTCTGTTGAGGCGTCGTGGCTGAGGCAGTAATATCGGTGGAGGTTGAGTGGACCATGGAGATTAGCCGGCACGTCGTTCGTGAAAAGACGGTGGAATGAAATCCTCGTGACGGTGGAAATTGTTAGTCGAGATTGCATCCGGCAAGCAATGTGACAGGCGAGAGATCCGAACAGTACCGAGTCTTCCAAGCTCATGGTAACGCATTGTCATGACTGGCATGTGCAAAGTACACGATTCCATTCTGCCAATCACACCCCAATCTCACTCCGTCATCCATCTCTTCGTCCGCGGATGAAAGAGCGCGTGAAGCCAACGCCGAAGTGTGGCTGCTCGATGTGTGGCCATGCGCACCTTCCTCAGGTCAGTTCCCTTTTGGGATCCGTTGACGCAAATAGCGGTGTCGCAGATTGAGGAAGCGGCACGCTTCCTAGCCACTTGGTAGTTATTCGCCAGTCGAAGGATTCAACCCCCAAAGTATCAGAAAGGTGACGGAAAGCTCGACTCTTACGGCTGGTGGCTGAGGCTGTGAAGCGATGGAAAGGCCAGGGACCAGGGGGGTGCCACCAAACGGCTCGCAAGCAGCATGCATCGGATGACAGCCACATCCGGCAAACAAAGATGTTTGTGGGACTGTCGCATTCACGCTGACGGCGGTGGAAATTTGTAAGGAGGTCAATCTGTTGTCGCGGTCGGTCAATTGCAGCCTCTCGGTGCTACCTACGAGTTGGCGCTAATTGAGGGTTGGAAGAAGGCGCTGACGAAGACTCACCTCCCGCGGGCAGGTGCGACGCACACTGTCGAGTGCTCTTTCCCGACTTCGGCTGGGTCAAGGCAGCAAGGTGGCCATGAGCTCACATGCTCAGCAATTCGCCTCCCCACCCTCATCAATGGTGCGCATCACGGCCATTCGCGAGCACCTCTTGCGCGATTCTGCAAGAAATGCAAGAAAACTAGCGACGCGCAATATAATCGCGGTGTCGAAGTTTGAGAACGCGACGCATGAGGCCTGTATGCGAACGATGCGTCCGCTGCTCGCGTGCAGCGTGGGTGCATCCCGTCTCCCTTTAGCGCCCGCCGCAACGTGATGCCCCACAGCCAGTTGAGCGGCCAAGCACCCTTCCCTCTATCCATATCACTACTCGAGGCAAAGCAATATGGTCGGGCATTGGGCGCCGATCAGCAAATGCCCGGCTTCTGGTGCCTGGCATGGAGGCCCGCCTGCCTCACGACACGGGAATGACTGCATAGCCCCTACCATCATTCGCCAGTCTTTCAGCTGAGAGCTGGCGATCCGGATTTCTTTCATCGCTAACAGCACTAGCACGGCCTCTATGTCTTCATCAAAGGAGGATGTCATCAGGTGAAGTCACTAAAACCGAGCTTGGGGGACGGTGACGGGGAGGACGGGGTGCGCTCGAGCACCGGCAGTTTATTGCTGCCCATCGAGTCTGAGACAGGTTGTGCGGCCGCGCGGATGCGCAAACCGACTACCAGTTGCGACAATTTTTCCAATTCCCCAATTGCACCGGGTCAGTCTCCCTCTTCATCACCCTCAGGCACAGGGCACCGGTCAGAACCACGGCCCACTCGCGGCTGGGCGGTGTCTTCGGTCGCGCGCAGGCTGTGCAATTCACCGCTGCGCAGCCCTAAAGGATGGCCCCAAAGACGCCCGGATCATGTTCATGCATTCCGTCCTGCCTGCCGCTGCGGCCGCCTGGCACTGGCACTTTTTTTCTGCCCGCCCGTTTCGGTCATCTGTGGTAAATCTGCTCCTTGTCCACTCATTGTGCACTTTTCCAGGCTACAACCTGCGCCGCCTTGCACTTAAAAGGAACCCTCGCCCAGTAGGGCTGCACTTTACTTTCCTCGAAGCTGCATAGCTCCCTGCACATGATCCTCTCTATTATTACCCCTTCGCCGCTCTGACTCTTTCGCTTTTCGGCCCATGTGTCCTTGAATCTACGAGTACACTCATCCTACTTGCCGCTTGTCTTAGTCGGGCCGTCACCTGTTCCTCAAATACCCTCAGTCTCCCCAATATCGCCAAAACATCCAAACCACGCAAATCGACCCGTATCCTGATCAGTTTACACTTTGTGTGATCTGGATACACACGTCATCAAGACATCCTTACCGTCCGGTACTTCCATATCTGCCTATCCCCCGACGGGTTCATTACCCCGGATAAGCTGGTTTGACATCATACTTCACCGAGAGCATCTAGCCCAAGACTAAAGCTTGAGGCAAGGTGTTCTATTATCATCCTCGCCTCTAGGATATCTATCAACTCTGACTTAACCCATTACACATCGCCATCATGTGTCGGATCGAGGAGCGCGAGGAGTTCACCCCTGATGGGCGACCCCTGACATCTACGCGAGCCTGCCTTTGTGCGAAAGCACGTGGTGATAGACCATGCCGAGACGCAATCGTCGTACCCATTCGATACATTCCTAGAAATGGCTCCATGGGCACACCGTCTCCGACGAATCCACCAACTCCCACCACTTCGACATACTTGGTCCAGACACGTCGTCCGTCTGGCAGTGGTAGCCGTCCCTCTACTCGTGATGGTCAACGACCCATCAGCAATGAGATCTTCATACAGATTGGCTCAAAGAAAGACAACAAAGGCAAGAAGTACCCGTTTTCGGTCTCTTCCAAAGCCTACGATCGGTCTTCACTTGGCTCTGTTGGATCTCATGATATCGCTGTTGATTCAGTAGGCTCTGATGCCTCCTACACTTACCGAACTGGTTTCCCGGAAGCTCCTTTGCCTCCACCAGCGTCCTTCGATCATCACGGCAGCTACCTTACAACTCCTACTGCACCATACGGTCAAAGCTCTCGCCATGTTCCGTCTGCGTCTTCCAGTCAGACGCCCTCGCTATACGTTCAGTCAGACGCAGAGCACGACCCACCGGCTAGGCAGCGAAGCACAAAACGCTCTTCCACGGTGATTCACAACCCACCTACTGCTGTTCCGTCCTCGCCACCTCAGCGTCAGGGTGGTATGTCATCTGATTCATACCGCACGGCCAGGGTTGCTCCACGAGAGACGTACACATCAGACCGCCCACATCCACTCGACTACGACGCCTTTGCTGATCACTCGAGTTCGTCTTACACTAGCTCGGGCGCACCTGAAGGCGCTCGTCGCACCAAAATTGGGGACGAGCGACAGAGGCAGTCCAAGTCGGGTCGGCATCAAGAAGAGCCTGACCGACGGGTGGCTGATGAGCGTGACAGAGAAGATACTGCCAGACGCGTACATTTCGAACCCGCCCGTGCAGACGCCCGCGCGAATGAGAGGGCAGAAAAGCTCTTCGCAGAGAAGGAGAAAGATCGGGCGTTAGCTAGAGAGGAAGCTCGTCGTGTCAAAGAGGAAGAACGCCTAAGACAAGAGAAGGAGGATCTGGAAGAGAAGAAAGCCCAGGCTCGTAAGAAGGAAAAATCGAGCCCTCCTACCATCGACTATACGACGAAGCGGCCAAACGCATCACGCAGATTGTCCTCCTCCATGACGTCGGCTCAGCTAGCAGATCAAAAGCGCTTGATCAAAGCCGAGGAACAACAAATGCGGAGCGAAAGGCAGATCGCAGAAGCCAGGGAGCGAGAGGAGGAGCTGGCAGCTCGTAAAAGCCAACAGGAGAAGCCGGCTGCATACTGGGACCCGCGTGGCGGCGATCGTTCCCTCTCCACACGCCGCGACTCAATGGCTCGCCACGACAGCCTCACCTCTAACACGCGTCCTTCTGGATTGACTCGCACTCCCAGCAAGCGCCGCCCAAGTGTCTCGCAGCCAACCCCTCCAGTGCTCGATACTCAGGCGCCTACAGAGTCTTACAGGCCTTCCAGTTCGAGGAAACGCGCGCCACCGCCGCTGTCCTTCCCAGCGAACTTCAACCAAGATTACGCCCGGCCGCCATCTGCTAGGCGTCCATCCATCAGTCAAGACAACCCGTTCGCAGCAGCCACAATGATGTCGCCGCAGTCAGTATCGCAAGACCCATGGGATCTGCGCACCGTCGAAGGTTCACTTCCATCTGCCCGACCTCTAGGCGATGGTCGTCGTCCGACCATGCCGTCTCGCGGCTATGTCGATGCTTTCGCAACAGACTCTGAAAGTCCGGATGATCATCCGCCTGTATACGCATCGCGCACGGGTCTGAGCCGCAAAGGATCGAAGCGGAAGCACTGAGCCTTATGTCACTTTATATACTTTGGGTCGTGCGTTTGTAATTGTTCATTGCTTTTTCTTTCTGCTATTGGAGTTCAGTATGCGTCTGCTTTTGTTATGATACCCTTCCGCCAGCACTGTTATATACTGCACCCCTCTTGTACCTTGGATAGACATATACCCCTGCTTCACCGCCCATGTATCGCGTTCGCTGGGAATGACAAAACTATGGCATATCAAAAGATTATCAAACAAAATAGTCATCAATGTTGCCAACTAGTGACTATTATTACTTCTCCGATACTCTGAGCCCCCTTCTCGACATTCTACCTGCACTATCTAGGCTTTCCGCATTCTGGGCAATGTGGGTTCGGCGTCCAGAGTTCCGCCTTCGGGGGTGGTGTCTCCTGGTAAGGATCAACCGGTATGTCTAACTCAGCGTCAACTCCAAGCCTGAAAGTCTTGTAGGGCGGAGAATCAGGGTTTTGTCCTTTCCACTCATTGACTTGGTCGGTTATCTCGTTTCTGAGGCGCTCAAGCAGGTATAAGTAGCGGCGATGCTGTTGGAAAGAGGCGGGAACGCTGGTGTCGAACGCTTTGATGGCTTGAGAAAGCTTGTTGATGACAGGGGCTTTCTCTAGGGGGTAGCTGAGGTTTTCTGAGGCCATGTTATGGAGCTGGGTGACGAGTAGGGCGGTCTTGATGATGCTCTGACGCTTCTCATTCTGCACTGATATACTGGACTTGTTTGCTGCGAGCAGAGCCCTTTACGGGGAGGCACGTAGAACAATCAGCATACCAAGGTCCATCATGATGCCAAGCTTGCGCGATTGATCACCGCAATCCATGTGTCAGTCTTCAAGCTCATATCCCTGTCTCCTTCTTTGGATAGGCATATCGGTCATGGCTTTGGGAATAAGGCATGGCTTCAGTAAAATGGAACGCTTGCAAGTGACTGGATTGTTGAAGACAAGGCTCTTCATTGATCGTTCATTTGATGATCATATGGCATTCGTAACCCATGTTCAAGCCATTAAACCCACCCCACCTAAGGATCTCGCGCCACCACTTGCTCTCATTCTCTCTATAGTTTCGTAACCCCACCAGACAGCCTCATCTCGTCATTCTTCTCCCTCTCGATATGCTTCTGCTGCTACTACGAGGTGAAGAATTCCAATCCTGTTCTGTCCCTGCGTCCTGACTGGCTATTGAGTAGGAATAATTTTCTGACTCTGGTATTCCAAGCTCGGTATCAACGTCGCGCCAGACTTGGGAATCAGAAATTGGGCTTTCTACGTCTTCAATCAACCACCATCCGATAGGTATGTCTATCTCACTAGTCAGACGCAAACAGAGATACAGAAGCCTGCGCTGCTGGAATAGCGTCATTGCCGTGCTTGGTTGGATAGCGGCGATGGCAGTGTGTATCTTTTGGATCGTGGGAATATCGGCGCTCATGAGCGTACGTCTCTCTTCTTCCGTCATGGCTGAGTCAATTGTGTTAAAGAAGTTGCTGTCGTAAGAAATATAACATGCTTATAAGTTCTGAACGTGGACGAGCGTCGCGAATGGTTTGTGCAAACACTAGTGTTTCCATGGCGCAGATGAGACACCCGACCTGGTCACTTGCGTTGTGGGCACAGCATTGCCACGTCGAAAACATTGCGCTTCACACGTAAGTGAGCTGTGCTTTGAGATAAACCCATTCCATTGGTATCCTATGAGATCTAGTCTAGTACGGATATCCAAATCGATGACCGCTCTGCACTCGTCTCACCAGTGCGTTCCCAATAATCTAGCTATGTATCAGGCAACCTGGCCGTGCTATTCCGCACGAGCGACGAACACGGGTCAAATCTCATTCATCCTTGCTCTCAACAACCTGAGACAGCGCGCCCTTGAGAGGAACGTAGTTGAAGGCCTCATCAGATCGCTGGCGACGTGGCGGAAGCGAGAAGCTGATCTGCGAGTGTGGTGCGGAGAAGGGAGCGCGAGTGATAGGCGTAGATTGTCCAAACTCTTGGAGCTTCTTCTCGAGGTACTCGATGCGGTCGTCTTGTTCTTGAGTGTGGTGCATCTGCTGCTGGTACATACTAGACATATAGTCGTGCTCGTTGTATAGGCGGTCGAACTTCATAGCGGCGTAATTGATGTCGTTTCGAAGGCGAAGGTTCTCGCGATTGCCCTCGTGCTTTACGCTCGCGACATGACGGCGATGGGCTTCACTGAGATCGCGAAGCTGCTTCTCGTGTACCCCGCCAACGTCGATCGTGAGGAACTTGGTGAGCGCCTTGCTAGTGGATAGACGTGCGAGAAGCGCGATCGCGACTACAACAAAGACTCCGATCAAGAGAATGATCTCGCGGTCGCTGATGAGTTCAGTCTGGAGCTGTTAGTATGAGACGCTGGGTTAATGCTTCAAATTGACGTACTGTAGACCAGACTGCGCAGAGTAGACCAAAGATGCTTGAGCACAGGAAGAAGGCTAGGAATTCGAAGTTGTTGAGCTCCATTGTAATGTTGTCTTGAGTGAGTGAGTTGTTGAGCGGAACGGCGTCCGAGCCGCATCGCAGTCAGTTTGATACACACTTGGCTTGGCAGTCTAGCTGATTCCACGAGTGGAGTCAACTGGGATGAAGCAACACTTCATGCTGGCAAGATGTTACGACGATGTCTTATAGCTTCAACTTATTGTAGGATCAGAACAACAATACGATGACACATTAACATCCTTTGCAAGCTCCACAGTGTAGCTTGTTTCAAAACACGAACATCAACTGGAAGATGCCTCGGTTGTATGGCCTGAATTCTGCATTCAGATATGTATGTATTAGATGGCTATATACTGACAGTATGACTATTTACAGGAAAGTGACTATGAGTACACCGAAGCATGCAGAATATGGCAACCACGTAGGTAAATCGGACATGATGCATGAAACGCCGTTTTTGAACCCCATATGCAGACCCGAAGGTACCTAAAGAACGCCTTAGCCATGCAGTAATGATTCTGAAAAATGAGCCTGTCGACGACACGCTAAACAGTTCAGGAAAGATCCATGGGTTCGGCGGCGCTGCTACCGGCACCCGCTGATTCGCGACCACGCTGGTCCTTGATCGCTGGGGCAGCAGGCTGCGCGAAATTGTTCTGTGCAGGCGGAGCAGGAACGTTGATGCCGGTATTTACGTGATCGGTGCGGACCTGTGGAGGCGCGACGTAACCCATATGAGGCTGGGCGTAGATTGGAGGAGTCGCTGGGCCAGAAGAGTTGCGCGGCGGCTTTCGACCACCGATGCGCTGAGCTCGGGGAGCTGGGAAGCAAGCATTCTTGACACGGGTCTGGAACTCTTGGGCGAAGTTGTCGTAGGGCTTCTTGTCCTCGGATGTCTTCCAGCCCATCTTGTTCTTCATGCACTCAGCCTTACGGTGACTAATCGTGGAACCTTCAATGCGAATGCCATTGGCCTCAAAGCGGCGACAGCAGTCAGAACGCGACAGGATAAGTAAAACAACGAGAAGGCTGACGTTGTCGTTGTCGAGAAGATGAGGACAGAAATCGCAGACATTACATGCGAAGCGGCGCATGTCTTCTAGTTCCTTGGTGTCGGTGCAGTTGACGAAGCGCTCAGCCATTGAGAACGGTCTGACCATGTCCCTACAAATATGGTTCTGAAGGACATTGGCGACTGAAGATACGGAAACTGGATAGATGCTACTACGGTCGATCTTGCTTGTAGCAGATGACGAGACCGTGCCGGCGATGTAGACAATCTCGATATCGTCGAACGGGCCCCGATCGAGTTTGATGTCCTTGAGTGTCTTGCCTTCCTTTTGAGCCTCTTTGTAAGTCTCGGCGTTCTTGATACCAGCCTCGCGAGCCGCCTTGACAGCTTCACGAGGTGTGGTAAAGCCATACTCTTTGGCGAGAGCTACGGAATCTTCGTGCATCTCAAACTTGGAAAGCTTACGCTCAACATCAGGAGCGCGTATCCAATCCTCAGACCAGGGTTCTTCTGCGAGGACTTTGTAGAAGACCTTGGTAAGGGCGCGAAGCTTGATCTCAAGATCAGTCATCATACGCCGGCCGAAATACAGTTCATCGGTCTCAAAGAACGCATTCTCAATAAAGGTCTTTCGATCCTTTTGAGTTAGCTGGCCGCGAGATGGATCATTCTTCCATTCTTGGATGATGTGCATGAACTTGGCGTGGAAGATGTCATCGAAATGTTTTGATGCAGGTATAGCATTCGCTGTACGGCACGTTAGTTCATGGTCAAGAGATGTTTCCACAGTTCCCACGTACAAGTCGGTGTGTGGGGTTGTTGTGGCGGCGAAGGTGAGGTAACAGCGGTCTGGCTGATTGCGGCAGGTGACATAGTGATCCAAGCGCGATATATGACCTGATATACCGAAAGAAGTAAATTGTCTACTTGTGGATCAGTATAGATGAGAAAGGAAACAGATCTCGATGGAATTCGATGGGGTTGGAAGGTGAGGTTCGTGGCCGGGTCAAAAGGTTGCGGGGTGGTTGGGTTGTCGGAGCGTGAGGGCGGTAGGCAAAAACATTCACGCTCGCGTCGCTAGCGTGCCAAGTAAATTCGGGGTGAGCATTGGAAAGACACGTGACCCACATGACTCGGCCCCAACAAGCTTGGAACCTCGGGTGAGCGTCATAGTTAGCGCTTCCGCTCACAACCTTCCATCAAGACATCCATTGAGTGCTTCATCTTGTCAGTTCCGCTCCTGTTAGCAATGGCTGCGACGCGTTATACGTTCCTGCACCGCATCGCTACGCGTTGGTATGCGCCCGGGGTGCGCTTGAGTGACGAACCCCTTCCTGTCGCGTTCCTGCAGTATCATCCTCATTTCATCTGCGCTCAGTACGCTCGCCTCGATCCAGAGTTACATGTCATCATTGCGAAAACATTGATTTAATCATGTATGGGTTACAGTACGCTGGTCCTCTTCGCCATCTAGGGAAGTCATCGCTTCCGGCTTTGGTTGCCTTACGTGCCACATTCCTGGGAACAGCAGCAGCATATGCCTTCTACAAAACACATCTTCTCTGGAGCGATCTCGGTTATTCTGATAGCCTGAAAGAATCATGGTTCCGTTGGATCGCAATGGTATCCTTTCCGGAACGACACTCAGGGTATACGCGAGAACCTAGATGACAAAATTGGAGCTGAAAGCACTGGGCCTCCTTTTATCAAGCGTGCCGTTACATTGTTCAAGAGTTTGTATCCATGGTGACGCTGAGACCTGGTTTGCGCCGAATTAATGGCATTCAAAAGTCTTTCAATGCCCGGGAGACGCTACTTTGATGGGCGTTTGACAGTGAAGGAGACAGTAGCAACGAAGAGATATTTCCACAACTAGCTTTTGTCACCACGCGAAAAGTCCCTGCCTCGCAAGCAACTTCGTTCCACTTTCTACGTTGACGGCACACCACCATCGACCCAATACAACATGAAGCTGATCAAACGTCGAGACAGGCGTCCCCAAGCCACAGCTGCGACTCCATGCCACTTGCTTGCACTACCAGCGGAGATACGCTTGCTCATATACAGCCACATGGCACCCGATGGCTTCCTACCAAACGCGCCCTACAAGACATACATCGGGCTCATGCTCTCCTGCCCCCAGATCTACAACGAGATGACCTCCGAAGCCGTCCGCTTGGCCCCTTCCATCCTACGCACGATCCAGTTCTCCGTCAACGCAACGCCAATGAAGCTACAACCGCTCCGGCCGACGAGCTTCGCCTCGCTGATGCACCTCACGATCGGAATACCGCGCTGGGCAATGCTCGATCGGCCTACTATGATGGGCATTCTGCAAGCCATGGCACCAGTACTAGAGCTCCACCTAGCCAGACTGACCATCGGGCTAGAAGACCTAGAAGACGAAGAAGATGTCTTGCAGATGGTCGAGACACTGAATCCGGCACAAATCGCGCGCTACATGAGCCAAGTACAGGACATGCCCGCACCCCTCTACCCTCCAAGCGATTCTGTGGCATCCGACCATTATCGCATCCGAACAACATACAGCAATATCATTGGACTCGTCACAGCAATGAATTGCCTCATAGCTCCAGGAATGTGTAATGGAAAGCATGCCCGGGCAAACCACTGGTGCCTTCGCGCTTCAGTCCTTAACCCACCATTTCCGACGACGACGTGTAACGTTCGGAAGATTGCTTTCCGCTTGAAAAGGCTCCATGATGAGAAGGTATGTGGGTGTGGTCGACTTCCCGCTCACTACCCTCATCTGGTGTATCCGTTTCGCGGGTCGAGCTATAGGTGGGAGCTGATGCTCGAAAACCCCTCGTTGGAAAAGGAGCGATGGATGGTTCACTGGAGGGATGATAAGGGTAAGTTGAGCTGGTCCCTGAAGGGAAAACCAGGGCTATATGTATGGCTGAAGTTGAAAGAGAAGCGAGAGAGCCGGTTGAAGAGGGCTGTGAAAAGCTTGTTCAGGCAGACCTAGTTGAAGGCGGGGCTATGTACGTACTCTCCAGGTTCGCAAGTGCTAAGTCTTGCAGGTAGCTCCAATATCATCATGATCATGACATTAATGCATAAATGCCATGGACTTAGGAGTCTTGATGTTACAGTGCGCGTCATGCCAAAACCACAGCTCTCACCAGATGCATTCGAAAGGTCTACGTGTAACATGCACCTACCCGACGGCTACCACATTGAGCATCCACAAACAGAATGAACATGCGTTTGTGTGACCCACTCCCAGATTGTTCCTCATTCCGCTGATAAAACCCCGTTCATAGTCCCCAACATACAGAAGACTTACCACACCCCTACCTCCGACTCTCCAAGACCACCCAACTATCTCTACAAACCAGCAGACCGAAGACTACCATGACTCTCTTCAGTACACAGATAGCTGGCATCGCTATAGGGGTCTTCTTCGCACTATCCCTCATCATGTTCGCCCTTTATTACTCGATTGATCGTCTTCGCAAGCAAAACGGCACAGCCAAAGCAACAACGCCGTCATCTCCTACTGGCTCTGGTTCCCCGATACCTCCTCCACAACATCTTATGGACAATCAGAGGCGCACCTCCAATCAATATTCACATCCTCAGCAAGAGCATTCACGTCCAAGCCTAGAGTACGGACCCGGTCCAACTTGGGTCGCGACACCCGAGCCCGAAACGTATCGTTTCAACACGATTAGAGCAGTACCAGCTACGCCAAAGACGTCCTCCGCGAGTGCCATGCGTCCTGTTACTTCGGAGTCGGACAAGCGGAGTAGTCTGCACCAGGCGGTCTTGGGTGCGGGTACAAGTCGCGGTCGGAAGAACAACAGTGATGCCACAAAGGAAGCCGTGGAGACTGCTAGAGCAAAGGATTTGGATGACGACCACGTTGCTGGCAGTAGCATTGGCAGACAGAAAACGTACACTGGAGCTTGGCCTTGAACGGTGTGGTGATGTCGGCAACGTTCTAGGGATGTGTTCAATGATGGTTTCATTGAGCAAATTGGGCTCCATACGGTATAGACTAGATTCATCGAGCCTTGAGAAACCCAACATATTACACAGGAGGACGTGCATTGAACGATGGGTTGAGATAGTGCGTGGATTTGTTTCATCTGAGCGTGAAGCTATTGACATCACGAGACGTATGAAGGATCGTTCCCTTTTGGTAATGCTGTTTAGACCGGTAATGAAATTCACTTACCTGAACCTGAACTCTATATTCTTCGTTGGTCATCACAACACCATCGCATCACACAGGGAGCATGGGCAGGGGAAATGGCAATCAAGCATCATCCTCGTGTCTTGCAACACTCGGACTCAGCGACACCTAGTGGGGGAGAACCTTTTGTTTCATTGACTCCTGATCATCATGCCGCCGTATATAGCCGTAAAACCATGCCATAGTCGTGGCAGAAGAGACCCTTTCCCAGACACCATATTTTCAGTAAGCCGAGAAAGGAGGAAGAAGGGAGACCATCGTGTCGCGCGTGCGCATTCGTATTTACGAGCGGGCGGGGCGGTCGTTGAAGCGGCGGGGACCGCGCTCGACGATCTGTTGTTGAGAGACGGCAATGACGTTGGTGGGGATGCTGTCGAACTATCGCATGTATTAGTGAGATGCTCGAGAGGGTATGGGTATGGAGTAACGTACGCCCATGCTCTTGAGCAGGTCCTTGGTCTCCTGGTCGACGTCGAGCGAGCCAGACTCGCTGTTCTGGGTGAAGTCGAGAGCGGAGATCTCGGGGACGTACTGGTCCTTTCGCTCACGCTCCTCTTCTTGGAGCTTGAAGGAAATACCACGGACGGGACCACGCTGGATACGCTTCATCCTGCGAGTTGTTAGCCTAATATTTGGTGCGAAAGAGCATGTTGCTCAAGCAAGGCTGCGGTATGGTTGAATGGAAAGCTGTCTCTGAAGTGCCCAAGAGCCTGCGCATAGGCATTGCACAACGCTCCTCTGCGCAGGCCACTCAAGCTTCCAGGACCAGCCCCTCATTGCCATTGTCGCAGCCCCAGTGTCGGCACGTACAAGTGAGTGGTGTATCCGGCAATCTTGTTTCGGAGCCTCTTGGAGGCAATGATGGCAATCTCATCACAGATCCTCTTGTTGGTCTCGAAGTCGAGCGACAACTTGGGGTAGTAACGCTCAATGATGACCTTGGCGGACTTCTTGACGGTCTTAGTTCGGACGCGACCCATTTTGGCGACTTGTTGTGTGAGCTGGGAGAAGAGGTTGTCGTGGGAAGGGGCGGTGGCTGTCGGGTTAGTTGGATTGTCGCTGGAGAGTAGAAATGTCGGGAGGGCAGGCGCGATTATTCGCCTAATCTGTGTGGAGGACCGTGCGCAGGACTCTAGTCACAAAGGGTTTGGCGCCAACGCAGCACATGGGAGCGGCCATCACCAACATTGCTGCAGATGAACAGTGTCAATCTCGTATATCATATTGGTATCTCTCGCTCGCTAATTAAACTGCTGGAAAAGAAGACTGCTCAAAGAAATGCATCACAGATGCTTGCTACATGTAGGAAAACCCGACCTCCTCGCAGCCCGTTTGCAACGAAACTCCACAACACCACCGCTGTGTGAATATCAATTTAAAGTAAGCCCTGTGGCTTTACGGATACAGCCGTCTGAACGTTTCGTTCAGTGGCCGCCCTCAGCGCCACCCTCAGCGCTGCCTCCGGAAGCACCGTGGTGTGCAGGGTTGGGGAAGTAGAACGCACATACTGCGATGATGACGTACGTCATCACGCAGAGTACACCCTCCAGGTAGTTCGAGCTTCTGTCGCGGAGGAATGAGCCAACCGCCAGGACCGCCAAAACCAGGGCAACAGCGTCGAAGATGGCGAAGTTGTAGTCCATGCCGACACCAATACCCCAGCCAACCAGTACCACAAGGGGTGCGTTGAACAGGGCGGTCTGGATAGAGGCACCGAGAACATGGGCAAGGGCCATGTTGATCTGATTGTCATAGGCTTCGTCAATGGCGAGGAGGTGCTCGGCGATCTTCTCAACCAGCGGGATAAGGATAAGTCCGACGAAGGAGTCACTAACTCCTCGCTCTACTATATGCGGGATTTCGAGGACGAGGAAGATAGCGACGAGTGCAACGCAGGCCAGTGAGACGAGAAGAGCAACGATGACTTCGGTCAGGGTAAGCTTGGGCTTAGCCAATTCCTCGTGGCGGTCCTTGTCCTTGTGATCGTCTGCCTCGTAGATCTCATGGAGCAACCCATCGTGGGATACGGTCTGGTAATACAAGTAGACTAGGTAGCCAACGATGGAGATGATGGCGACACCGCGGGATATCAGTCGAGTGTTATAGGCGATATCAACAGTCTGTTCGTAATCGGGGTTTTGGAAGAGGTATGCGTAGAAGACAGCGGGAAGTACGAGCGCGGCTATAAAGATTAGCATTGGTACTGTGACGAGCCAAGAGGAGGATCGACATACTGGCAGCTACGAGCATCAAGCCACTACCGTTCTCAGAGACAGCACTATGGAACTCTTGGACGTCATGCTTGACACCACCGGCAATGAAACTGGAGCAAATTAGTGAGTGCTTGATCGAGCATTGAACAGACACTTACCAGGTACCAAGGCAGAGGAGCAGGTTGGCCAAGATAGACCCCAATATAGCAGCCTTGATAACCTGCACGTTTGAGTCGCCGTTGGAGGTTTTGAGCAAGACCATGAACAGGATAACTTCGACAACGGAACCGAATGTTGTCTCGAGAACGACAGCAAAGGCCTTGTTTGGCATCTTGCGCGAGAACTCCTGGCCAGCGAAACCGAGCAAGTTGGCTGCAGGAAGCATGGCAATGTAGTTGGTAATGAAGATCGCTAGATGCCATTCGGGCCTCGCAAAGTGCTGTTAAAGTCGGTTAGTACAAGAAACATATTCTCTTATGCGCCGCTTACCAGTGCAATTGCTACAGGTACAATGGGCCATAGGCAGTTCACTAGCATAGACATCGTGCTGCTACTCCTGCCGCTGATGACCAGGAACTTGACCGGGTTGAAACCCCTGCGGCCACTTTCGCCCTCGGGGTGAAGGCCGGGGGTCACCTTGTGTCCATTGTGGTTGTACTGTGGCAGAGACGAGCCGCGCCTGTCACGGCGATCGGAGGGAGGGACGGAGCGTGGCTTCTCGCTGGTATATCCTCGGTCGCGCGACGAGCGGTGCCTTGAGCCGTCGGGGTAGTCTCGCGAGCTTCTCGAGCGGTGCGCCATGGCTTTGGTATACGAAGATTGCCCAAGGGGTGGTTTTTAGGGTGCGCCAAGTGCAAGAGTTGAATGCACTGGCTTAGGTTTCAGGGCGGGCGAACGAGTTGCCCTGCAGCGGTTGCAGTTTGTAATGCCGTAATTGGAGAGGAGTTGATAGAGAGTAAGTGAAAAAGAAAGACAAGAGGGCCGGTGGGACTAGACATTGTAAAAGGGCCGGGCGTCATTTCGGGACGAGTATACTACCCTTCCTTGTTTACGAGGTGCAGTTCGCAACGGGGCGGGCGCGTCCACAACACACAGCCTCGACGCTATGATCGCCAAACAACGAAAATGTCGCAGCGCGTTTACACCGTAACTCTGCAGCAGCGCGCGCCGTTCGCAGCCAATTGGTCTTAATTGGTTCTTTTTGGCACCGATTCATGGTAATTCAGTGTCTAGCTAAGCTTATCTTCAGTAGAACACGTCACCAAGCACCGCGCAACGTCCCTGGCAATGCTTGACACGCCTTGGCTGCACTACGATGCGGAGTCCAGAACAAGGTTTCAGCTCCATGCACATTGACGTGGGCCGAGACTCCACATCTCAGGTTTAGCAGCAATAAGGGGAAGGGTCTCGATCTCCGCAATGCACATGCGAGCTATTTGATGGCCACCGACACACTTCGAGCTACCAGAGGTCATTCGCATCGATGGCGCTACATGGAATACAAGCGCTGGTTCCAACGCGTTGGCTACTGACAACCGCATGAACCGTCATCGATCGCAATGTTGAGAAGGGCCGACAAGTTGCTGATGACGATTTAGAGAGGACCGAACGTCTACTGCTGTTGAAACTATGTACTTACACACATCAGTCTGCAGACATTCCATGATGCGATGGGGGAGTTGTTGTTCATCTAGACTTGATTGGTTCCTGGCGGTCCGCATCTATTGTACCTTGCATATGATGAGAGACTAGCAACAGCATGGTAACGCCGGCTGGATGCGCAACTATGCCCTCACGACTTGATCTTCCCTCTGCACATCGCAAAGCTTGACAAGGCTTCAATACATACAAAAAGCCATCATGTATTTGACATATGCTCAAGCAAAAGCAGTCACCTGGTACTGTGCACGGGACAGGCCTTATCGCGAGGCGCGTGTTAGCGGCATGGCAACAGCGACTCATCCATAAACACACAAACAACCCTCTTCCATCCCATCTCGTCTCCAAACCCATCCATCTCCGTAACTCACAACATGGTCTTCTCCTCTGGCTTTGCGCTGTGCGCAGCCATCACAAGCGCGACGGCGCTCCAGATCCCGCTTATGTCGTCCGGCAATCAAGCGCCACTCGGACATCCACATGGGACCAAACCGTTGGTCAACTCGACCGAGCTCCAAGACCTCATCAGTGGGGACAGATTGATGGCACGCGCCAAGAAGATGTACGAGATTGCGAAGCTCGGTGAAGAGGAATACAACCATCCCACCAGAGTCATCGGGAGTGCTGGTACGTTTGCGCACGTGATTTGTTGTACGCTGATGCTGATGAAGTCGCAGGCCACCTCGGAACGCTGTCTTACATCTATGAAACTATCCTTCAACTTGGCGACTACTACACAATCACCAATCAAACCTTCCCAGCTGTGTCCGGCAATGTCTTTGAGTCGCGTCTTGTCATTGGCGATGTCGTGCCGAAGTCTGCCCATCCCATGGGCTTAACGCCTCCCACAAAGGACAAAGAGCCTGTACACGGCGACCTCGTTTTTGTTGAGAATGACGGTTGTCAGGCGTCGGATTACCCAGACTCAGTAGCCGGAAACATCGCATTCATCAAACGTGGAGTCTGCCCCTTTGGTACTAAATCCGAGCATGCAGGTCGCAAAGGCGCTTCTGCTGCCATTGTCTACAACTATGAGAAAGACAGCGTTTCGGGCACCCTCGGAACGCCGTCTCCCGATCATGTAGCTACATTCGGGTTGTCCGGTGAAGAAGCTGAACCAATTTTGAAGAAGCTCGAAAAGGGAAAGCGCGTGGATGCGATCGCCTACATTGACGCTGAAGTGAACACCATTCTGACGGTCAACATCATTGCGCAGACAACGGCTGGCGATCCGGACAACTGCGTCATGCTCGGCGGCCATTCCGACAGTGTCACCGAAGGGCCTGGTATCAACGATGATGGAACAGGCACAATGTCGCTGCTCGAAATTGCTACTCAACTTACCAAGTTCAACGTTACCAACTGTGTGAGGTTTGCATGGTGGGCGGGTGAGGAGGAAGGCCTACTCGGATCCAACTACTATGTCGCCTCTCTGCCCGAGAAGGAGAACCAGAAGATCCGCCTCTTCATGGATTACGATATGATGGCTAGGTAAGCGAAATCACCGTACGCGTGGCGCATGTAATGTGACTAACTTGTACCAGCCCCAACTTCGCCTACCAAATCTACAATGCTACAAACGCGGTGAACCCGAACGGCTCCGAAGAGTTGCGGGATCTGTACATCAAGTGGTACGAGGATCAAGGTCTGAACTACACTTTCATTCCCTTTGATGGCCGCAGCGATTACGACGGCTTCATTCGCAACGGAATCCCCGGTGGTGGCATTGCTACAGGAGCCGAGGGTATCAAGACGGAGAAGGAAGTAGAGATGTTTGGGGGCAAGGCTGGGGACTGGTATGATCCTTGCTACCATCAGCTTTGCGACGATATTTCAAACCTCAACGTTACTGCGTGGGTTGTCAACACCAAGCTCATCTCGCACTCTGTCGCAACGTACGCACGATCTCTCAAAGGTTTCCCGAAGCGAGAGCTTGAGGCTTCGCTCAAGTCTACTGTGTACAGGGAGAAGACGAAGTATCAAGGCTCGAAGTTGTTCATCTAGAGTTGGTTATTTGTAGTCTGGCCTTCCCTTGTTCCAATGTAAAGCTGGGTAGTCTAGCCTGCCTTAACAGATTTATGGAGGAATGAACGTGCAGTCACTGCTGATGTCAACCGCGTGAGTTCTCTGAAAAAGTCCAAGCGTGATTTCTCGCCGATTGAACACTACCAACTGCTTCACTATGTTCCGGTGCGCTCGGCTGGTCCCGAGACTGGATCTGGGATTGCATGACGATTGACACGGGGAAGTCGCGCTAAGCGAACGGGCCGCAGCACTCCAAGGCTGCAGCTGAAGCGACTCATCGGCTGCAGGTCGCGTCTCCAATCGCATCATGGCGCCCGTCTCAATGCCTTCAGCCCTCACCTTTGAGCTGCTGGGAAAGTGCTCGGTATGTACTGTGGCAGTTCCGCGTCTTTGTCATCCTCTGACAAGCCCAGGTCACCAAAGCACGCGCGGCAACGCTGCATCTGCCTCATGGCCCTGTACCCCTCCCCATCTTCATGCCCGTTGCGACGCAGGCTTCGCTCAAAGGCCTCACGCCCGACCAACTCGAAGACCAGGGCTGCCGGCTATGTCTAAACAACACATATCACCTGTACGGCCAACGTTCTGCCACCATGCCAGCCATTGCTGACATGCGGGAGAGGCCTTAAGCCAGGACAACCGACACTCGATGCCATAGGCGGCGCGCATAAGCTCCAGTCCTGGCCACACAATATCCTCACAGGTGCACCATGCCACAGCGTATAGGGATGGAAAGACGGAAGTGCTGACTGCTGCAGATAGTGGTGGGTGGGTCAAGCCTCCAACTTGGGGAACGAACGCACCGTAGCTGACGCCAACGCCAGTTTCCAGATGGTATCGCTCCTCAAACTCGCCAAAGTCACCGAAGAAGGTGTCCGTTTCCTGAGCCCCCACGATGGGTCGCCCATGCTGCTCACACCCGAACACTCCATCTCCCTCCAGAACTCAATCGGCTCCGACATCATCATGCAACTCGACGATGTTATCGCGACCACCTCGCCTGATCACGCGCGCATGAAGGAGGCTATGGAACGCTCGGTACGCTGGCTTGACCGCTGCATACAAGCGCATAAGTACCCAGACCGACAGAACCTTTTCTGTATCATACAAGGTGGCCTGGACCTGGACATGCGGAAAGAATGTACCGCCGAGATGGTTGCGCGAGATACACCAGGCATCGCGATAGGAGGCCTTTCTGGCGGCGAGGAGAAGGCGGCCTATTGTGAAGTCGTGAAGACATGTACCGACCTGCTTCCTGAGAAGAAGCCGCGATACGTTATGGGCGTCGTAAGTTTTAGATGCCCTCCGCTCTATTACAGCTTATTGACCAACTCAGGGATATCCAGAAGATCTGGTCGTCTCCGTCGCACTCGGCGCTGACATGTTTGACTGTGTCTGGCCGACACGAACCGCGGTAGGGTCCTCTTCCCACTCATCACAGACCCGTGCTAATAATACTTAGCGATTCGGCAACGCCATCACATCCCGCGGTTCCCTCAACCTACGCAATGCCATGTACTCCGAAGACTTCAGCCCTATCGAAGAAGGATGCCGATGCACTTGCTGCCGTCCGACATCGGATGGCGGATTGGGTATCACTCGAGCCTACATATACCACGTCACAGCGAAAGAGACTGCTGGTGCCCACCTTCTCACCATGCACAACGTCTACTACCAATTAAACTTGATGAGGGAAGCGAGAGAGGCCATCATGCAGGATCGATACCCACAGTTTGTCAAGGACTTCTTTGGCGATCTGTACAACAGGGAAAAGGATAAGTATCCTGTATGGGCGGTCGATGCGCTGAAAAGTGTTGGTGTAGATCTGCTTGCCGAGTAGACGAGTGGAGAACCTCAGTACTGGCTTCGATCCGAAGAAATCGTTCTGCCATGAAATCTCGCTTGACGGACATTCGCCGGACCAACAGTTGATGAATGCATTAAAAGCTCTTCACAGAATTATATCGCGCAACATCAATCCACCCTGAAATGCCAACACATCATCCATCCACACTCCTCACGACCCGTACTCCGGTGGGCTCCAAATCTTTGATGACCCAAATGCTGGGATGATCTTTCCAATCACACCACTGAACTTCTGGATGAACGGATGTGACAAAGTCCCGGTCACGGTGTTGAAGACCTTGATTCCCCATTCCGTCTGCGGGTTTGCAATTTGCGGGGCTCCGGGGATGAGTTTCTGCGCCTTGTCGACATATTCGCGTGTAATGCGTTCATAGTTGGTGAGCGCGGCGGGGATGTCGTCTTGAGAGCGTGAGATTTCACCTGCGAGAACGTACGCGCCTACGATCGCTGCACCAGTACCCTAGTATTGACATCAGTCTGAAGGTTCGATGATGAGAACGAAGGTTGAGGAGAACTTACGACACCAGAAATCGGACTGGGGCAGTACGCCGCATCACCCACCAGGGCCACACACCCTTTGTGCCAAGTATCCATCCTGACTTGTGCAATCTGCTGCATATAGAAGTCATCCGCCCTCTTCATCTCGCGTATACAACGCTCAGTCTGCCATCCGGCACCCTCGAACTCCTTCTCGAACCACGCTTGCTGTTCCTCCCTAGTGCCTTTCTTCAACAGCTTGTCAATCTCTTCGAAGCGGCTAAGATCACCATCGGTGATGGCGAGGTACGCTCGCGTGGTGCCGTACTGGTCAGGTCGTAGAAGGAACAGTCGGCCGCGCGAGGCGTTGTACCACTGTGCATACTGGGTATCGACGGGTTCGCGAGGCATGGTGAAGAGAGCAGAGTACTGACCGAGACGGTGCAAATAGTCGTCGTTCTTGGGTCCGTGGCCGAACACGATGCGCCGGGTTCGCGACATTTGGCCATCGGCGCCGATGACGACGTCAAATTCAGTAGGTGGGAGCTTGCCGTTTGCGAAAGTGACAAGTGCTTTGCTGCCTTTGGATTCGTCTTGTTGGACCTCTGTGGCCATTTCGCCGAAGACGTATTTGATGTTTGGGTTGGATAGTGTGAGCTCGTAGACAATGCGTGCCATATCTCCTCTTAGGATTTCGTACTCGCTTGTTGCTATGATCAGGTCAGTTTAGGTGCTTGTGTTGCTTTGACAATGCCGTCTTTTTCCTCTCATCGATTACTGTGCATGGAAGCTAGGTGTCTTACCACTTTGTCTCTCCTCCTCTCCAGTAGCCTCAAACGTTGCGCGCCTTTCCCCATCTCGGTATACGAACTGCATACCAACTTCTGTAGTAGTCTTCTCTTTCACCTTTTCCAGGATTCCCATCTTCTTCACGATAGGCAGAGCTGAGGAGCGAAGATCGACGGCTTGTCCACCTAATCTTGGTTCGGGTGATCTCTCTACGATGGTGATCTGGCAGGTAGGCATGAAGCGGTGCAACCAGTACGCTGTTACAGGACCGGCGATGCCGGAGCCTGATATCAGGATATTGAGAGGTTGCGTCGCGGACGGCATTTTGAAGGCAGTCTCAGCGTTCGACGAAGGCGTGGGTTTGGGGTGTATGAACTGAGGTACTGAGATTCTGCCTAGATGAACTTGTGGAAGGTGCTGCGGGTAAATGTATACAAGACGAGGAGAGCTGCAATGTGATTATATGCGCAACGGACGTCCGTCCAACTACTCTATATACCTCACTTTCCTTTTCTCTTTCGGTCCTTTGCATGCATCCCGACTCTTCATCACTGCATTCACCCAGGGTGCAGCCTACTGGAACACAGACAGAATCATGAGTCGGAACTCCGTCCTTACTACTTGCAGATCGGGTTCCTGCGCGCTACGGCGAAATTCTGCCGTGACTAATGACATCACCAGATCCCCAAGACAATCGGTGGCTTTGGCGCCGCTAGTGCCATCTCTCGGTCGTTCTACAATTGGATGGAACTGAGTTTGTAGTTGTTTGGATTCCAGGCGTGCAGTTGTGCATGAAGGAAAGCTTGGAAAGTTATCGGCTGTCAGGTGTCTTCCGCCGCCGCAAGGAATGCGCAACGTCTCGTACTTCTTACTCAACGCAGAATCGGAGGATGCGGAAGTGCCGATGGTATCTTGGCGATAAGGCCTCCACACGACGAGGCCAGGAAGCTTTCCTATGAAAAGCATCGTGCATCTGACATTTTACCCTACGATCGACTATTGTCCACGCCGCTGGCGAAAATATGCTTGCCTTAGGAGCTCTCAGAGTTGGGTGACAGTGTTAGCGCTGTCAGGATGGTACGCTAGCTTGCTGACTAATACACGCGGTGTCCACGCGTTGGGTGTGCTAGGAGCGCGTCAGATCGATGCAACCTACCTTAGTCACACTGATGTTTCCTATGACAAGCTGTTGACTCACTCGCGAAAAGTGCGACTGATTCGCTTGACTCGGTGTCCTCTACCTAGGTTCTTTGAGAGATAATGGCGTCGGTGGAAGCCGAAACACGACATGTTCGCTCCCCTTTTGATCTGTTCGCTCTAGTAAGCCAACTCAATACAACAGAATGGGGATACAAGTGATTAACATGCCTTTAGGAACATTGGGAAAGCACCAGACCTGCGCTGCCAGCCGACCATCATCAGCGATGGATTGAAATAGCCAGGAGGTACCGCAGTACAAGCCTCCTGCAGAGATGGGTGCGGCATGCCTCACCCGATGCCACGGCGTGATTGCATTGGCCTCAAAATTGACGCTACCCAGCCTCTGTACAAGCGGGTCCAGGGCGCACTGGACGAAGTCCCTGGTGCAGCATCTCTTCCTTCGCCCACCACAAAACAAATCGACGAGATATTTGCTCCGCATCAAACCATCCAAGAACACAATATCAGCAGATGGTACTCAGGGTGGAACACAGTCTGGTTAAGGACATGTTACAAGCCCTCAATGGCCCAAAGCTACGCTGAGCTCGCACGACTTTCTGGGGCTAACATCGAGGACGGCTGCGTTGAAAGTTTGAACCATGTTTTAGATGATTGTGCGCTTTATGACTTCCATGGACTGGATCAGGAAGTCCTGGATCAGCTTCTTCTTCGCATTCCCGGACTGACCGATGGTTTGGGTATAATGGACGAGTATGGAGATGGTAGTGAACTTGTTTATGGAAGTGCCATCTACCAAATCGAGAGGGAAGAGGACGGGAGTCATGTAGATCGCAACATCACAGATCAAGAGCGGTTCGATATCAGAGAAGTGGCTAACCGAGTTCAGAACTATGTGTATGTGGCAGACGAAGAAGCTGTCGAGAAGAGCAGGGTGAAAATATGGTGGTTCGATGAGTTTGGAAAGATCATCTGGGACAGCTACGCTGAAATCCCAGATTCCGATTTGGATGGGCTGCGCGGTGCGATGATGGATGGGCAAGACTTTGTCGAAATTGTTGGAGAAGACGGCAAAAGGGGCGGTCAAATTGCCCGACCATAGCCAGTTCAAGAACGGATGACAGGGCCGGCACGACTTGGCAACGATGCTTTACCACCCATTTGTTTGAGAAGAACAAACCGATGTGGTAATTGCAAGAAGAGCATGGGTTATGCGATGCTGTCATGCGAGCACATCATCAAGCGGGGTATTGCGTGCTCGCCACCTCCGCATCTATGCAGCGAGACACAACCCGTTGCGATGGACTAGAAATAACCGGGAATAACGTCACAGAATGTATAAAAGTCAAACAGGACTCCAAGTCGTCCAAGTCTCGTAAGTTGAAACTACTGCCAGCAACATGCCATCAGCGACGCTGGAACAGCCACCTTCCATTCCAAAGTGGGGACGGCCCAAGCAAACAACGAAGAAGCTAGACTGGGCAGAGATCAAGGTCATTGATCTATCTACGTATGACGAACCTAATGGAAAACAAAAACTGGCTGAAGAGCTGAGAGACGCAGTGAGTTGGCAGCTAAAGTCTGCGACAAACGTCCCTTCTGACAACGCCGAAGGTGCACCACACGGGCTTCTTCAGCGTTACTGGCACTGGTCTAACGCAGGAAGAGGTCGAGCGTCAATATGATATCGGTCAAGCTTATTTCGACTTGCCGTTAGAAGAGAAGGGCGACCCAAAGTACCGATGTGATTTCGCAAAGGGCAACTACTTTGGATACCGCGCTGTACGCCCCTCATATCCATGCCATTAGAAAGCAAATTACGCTTCTCTAACGCAAAGCCAAGGCCAACGAGAAGAAAATCATGGGCACCGCGGTCCTCGATAACGTTGAATCCCTCAACATACCCAAATTCATCCCTTCAAACTCCCACGAGCCATTTCCACACTTCCTCCACCCCTTTCGCCCAGAGATCGAGTCCTTCTCGCGCCGCTCTCTGGACATAGCATCCAAGATCTTCACGCTCTTCTCTTTGATCCTGGAACTACCCGAGACCTACTTCTCGGATCAACATCGCTATGACGACGCATCAGAAGACCATCTACGCTACATGATCTACCACCCACGCCCCGCTGCCGACGATGCCAAAGTTCAGAATACTTGGTCTCGCGCGCACACTGATTTCGGAAGCTTGACACTACTCTGGAGTCAAGATGTTGCAGGTCTCCAACTCAAAACTCCGGCTGGAGAGTGGAAGTATGTTCCACCTGTTCCCAACGGCATCATATGTAATGTTGGTGATACTTTGTCCTTCTGGTCTGCAGGCTACTTCAAGTCGACTATCCACAGAGTAATCAGACCACCAGAGGATCAAGCGCATATTCATCGGCTGGGGCTGTTCTACTTTGTCAGACCGGGAAATGAGGTCGATATCAAGCCTGTGGCATCACCTTTGTTGAGAAGGTTGGGGATTGTCGGCGAAGATGCCGAAGAAAGGGAGCCAGTGAGGGGTCTGGAGTATGTTAGGGAAAGAGTGAAGGATTATCATGACCATGGGGACTATGCGGACAAGAAAGGCAAGAAGTTCAAAGTGGGAAACTTGGAAATCGAAGACGAGGCGGCATAGCGTCGCGAGAGAGTAATTCTCTCCCTAAAAACACTCGCGCGATGAACGTCGAAGAAACTAGAGTATATCAAACTCCAGCTAAACACAACACGTCTTTGCTCTGACCCCGTCAAATGAAGCACTCCACAATCTCCATACTCACAATTCCCTTGGCCGCAAACCTCATACTCGTTCTCTCTCCCCACACCGCACTGTTCCAACTTTGACAAATCTCTAACCCATTATTTACCCTCTTAACCCTCCCCGCCCATTTCGGCTCCCTCTCCAGCTTTTCAAAAATTGGTAGGCCGCCCCTGCCATTGTAGCAGGCGTCGTACGCCGCCGTCTTCCATGGCCCCAAGGGCTCCTTCCGACACCCATGGCTGATCTTAATACGACGATTGATGCCATGCGCAAGGTATTGCGTTATAGCAGCGAGTATGGCGTAGCGCTCTGGATCGTGGTCGCGCGGGTCGGGGATGGAGTGGACGTGCCAGTTTGTGTGGTCGAAGAAGTCTTGCACTTCGTTGCGGAGGACTTTGTAGTCGCCGCGGATTAGGTAGTGGTACATTACGTATATTTTGTCTAAGGGGGTTTCGTTGGGCTTGCGCTTGGGGAGGAGGATGGCGTCGAGGCTGAATACTTGTTATTTTGTGTTGCAGCTGTATGGGTGAGGTGAGGATATGGGTGCTACATACGGCCAAGGGTATATCGCTGAAACGGGATGGGAAGCGAGTGAAGGATGCACATGGTGCGTGCTGAAGGTGCGTAGCTTGGTGTATAGTGCCGGGTAATTGTTCAGAAAGTATGCTTTGCAGCCTCGGTGAAGAGGCAGTGGTTGTGAGGGTTGAAGAGGTATTGTGGGGAAGTAGCGTGGCATTTTGACGGCTCGACAGTGGGGATCTTGATATGCGCTTGGGAAGAATCTCCAGTATAAAGGCGCTGAAAAGATGGGTATGAAGTCGAACGGTAGCTTCGGGCATGATCATGACATGTTTGAGAGATGCCGAGTGTTGCGAACAAATCGGAAGAGAATATTATGGCCTCAACTTCGGCTCGTAATGACCATGTCGTCTCAGAAAGCGGCCTATGAGCTGTCTGAACTCCAGGCTTGACGAGTTGTTTGGTTGATCGTGCGGTAAAGAGGCAGCATTTCCATTGAGTGGGACCAGTGTGCTGGTCCCGAGGGGTACCGTTCTATGTGCCGTGATCCAGTGCGTCGGACTCTGACACAGAGCCCTTGCATGATGTTGACATTCGTCAAAACATCGGTTGATGGATAAGAGTTTTGTGGTTCAGGGGCGGTGGTGACGATTTGAAGAGCAACTCCGCGGAAGGCTAGACTCAATCATCACCTCTGGTCGTCATGCGATATCGCTAGATATCGGGTTGACTCTGTTTGCTGTATCGAACGACAGTTCTTGAGAAAGGAATAGCGAGCGTTGTAAGAGGTCAATGTGATTCCAAAAATATCTGCGGACTCAAACGCTAAGTGAATATCAATGTAGTATCGTGCAACATGCGTCCGAAGAATTTGGAACTAACTCGGACTTGGTTTCAACGCTCACCTTGAACTGCATAGGTCCCTCCAACATTCATGCTCTCCTTTTTCTTGCCGAACGCTTTCAACTTGTCCTTCAAGCTCGCGCTGAATTTTCTAGTCATACTCCCACCAGCTCTCTCCACCTTATCCACCAGATTCTTCACACTGTCCTTTCCCTCCGTGATGACGGGCGCGACACCAGTAGAAATACTTCTTTTGAGATCCGAGCCTATAGAAGTCACCGCTTTGACCTTCAACTTCTCCCAGCTGCCCGTTCTGCCATGCGATTGATAGCCACGCGATTGGTAGCCGTAACCATGCGTTTGATATCGATGCTTTTTGACTTTAGGTCGTTGCTTGGGCGTCGAATGATAGGGGTTTGGTGTGAAGGTGCTGCAGGTAGGATATGAAGATGGCCATCGCGATGGTAGTGACATGTGGTGCGGTTCCGGCGCATGCGTTGAATGCAGAGCCGAAGAAGATGCAGGGGCCCAGGACGATCGGTTCGACATAGCGGTTTCAGGCCTGAGGTGCTGATTCGTGATGGAATTCCGTGAGAACGCTCTTGATATCGCCGGTCTCTCCAAATCTTCTCCAGGTATTGGCACGATTGCCCTTCCGTAAGGAGACGATTCGATGTCCAAGTCAAAGACCCGTCCGTGTCTCCTCTCTTGCCTTGCCTCGAAGCTTTCCTGTTCATCGGTAACACGCCTCATGCTAAGCTTGCGCCTAAATTTGTCGATACTACCCACTCGGCTGCGGATACTGCCATACTTGCTGTCTTGCTTTCCTAGACGTCGTCCTTCACCATGCACGTCGCGATTTGCTTGTTCCTGGCGAGCAAGGAAATCCTCGATCCACTCTTTTGAGCTTTCGTCGGTGGCAGAAGGCTGAACCCATTCGCTCGATCTCGCCCAGTCATGTAAATACACTCTTTCGGTGGACTTCGAGCGGATGTTACCATTCAACCTTGAATGAGCCTCATAAACTCCACCGCTCAATGGCACATTGGATATAGACTCTGGAGTACCGGTCGGAGTTGCGTCACTACTTGTACGGCTGGGCCACGTCATTCTCAATGAGTTACGCAGACTGGCGACTTCATGGAGTCTTGCATCTAGCTCGCCGATAGACTGCATGCTTTGGAGCTGGGAGGATGGATGAATATGGATAGGACCAGGCTCTGTGTGTGACTTCGCAGAGACTAGGGAATTCATTGTCGATGCGCGCGAGGAAGGCCTACTTAGAGGCGAGCATGGATGAACAGTATCCTCCTCGGTATCATTGATCAACGTGGTGGTTCTCAGAGGAGGTGCAGATGCTGGGCGATAAAACGGTGGTTTAGGTTCGATAGTCGGAGTCAGCTCGTTCTGCGACGACTTCGGCAGAGGCTTGCGGCGAGACATGGTGAGGGCATGGCTCTGGTGTACGGCATCTGTCACATTCAAGAATTGAAGTTCCGGAACAGCCGGGTATGTGGGCACTCCTGAGGTAGTTGAGTGGTCGTGTATTCGTATAAATTTTTGCTGGTTTGCCACAGACGGCGTCGAGGAGGAATCAGTCGTGCTGTATGACCTTTCGGTGCACGCGGGAAGCTGATCAGACGGCTTTTTGGAACGTTTCGAATCTCTAGAGATGTATCTGTCCTCGATGATTTGCGTATCTTCTGGAGACGGTAAGTCTATCGCTTCTGCCGTGACAGTACGTGTACCGTTCCTTTGCCTGTACATATGTTAGTGGGGCTCGACGTTGCCTTTTGGGTTGCGCACTCAGACTTCGCGTGTCTCGACATTTGCACGGCTTTCAGCAGGACGCCCGCGTCGTTATCATGATCCGAGGCATGTGCAATGTTCGCAGCATCGCCGGCCTCCATAATGATGCTTCTTTGTTGGAGGAGAGCTAGATTTACATTCTCGCACCGTACCCCGGGAAAAGCTCGTACGTCAATGAGCATCGTGTACTGGCAGTCCCACGATTAGCGACAACCGGATCCACCCGTGCCCGCGGTATCGTCGGTCAATTACCCGTAGCTGATGTGCAAACTCAGATCGCTTATGGGCTTGAGGGGAGGCGATCAGGGTCTGTGGCAATCGTTTCTCGGATCGAATATCTCATGGTCACCGCGGAGCGGGGTTCGACTGCGATGCGAGTCTGGTACTGACTGCGAAAGACCCTGCATCGCCTCGTCGCCTTTTGCGCTGCCGTCCTCGGATTCCGCACTGTGGTGAACTCTGCACCATTGATGTTTTTGTGCAAACCTTCGTCTACAGAGATACAATCAATCGGTACAGACTTGTCGCTGTGGTGCAGTTCAAGATATGCTGGTGAGCTTTCAAAGATGAGACGGGAAACCCCATATGAGCTCGGTTGTGCCTATCGGAGTGCTAGTGGAAGTCATGAAATATGGGATGATCAAAAGTGAACGCAGATGCGGAAGGTGCAGCGGGGGTTTGAATAGACCTCGTGTCGGATTGGGTGTGTGGAAAAGAGCGTACCGTGGCACCTGCCATTTTGTACCAACACTATCTACTTTACGCATGGGCGATAACGGAGAGTGCGGGTCAACGACTGGGTTCTGGTACAGCTATGAGTGCAAGGCAATCATCGCGATCTGCCCGTGTTGCTGAAATGTAGTTGCAAGAGTCAAGCTTCAATGTTCGGAAGTGCAGAGGAAGGAACGTTAGTACCTAGCTAGATATTGCGCTAGCCAACACGTGCTCGTCACGTGTGACCTTCAATGCAGAAACAGAATTTCGGAATGTCTGAGAATACGCTCATGAAGATTACCGCCATCAAGGAAGAAAGCACACACAGATGCAGCCATAGCCTTACTGCTCCATCGCAATACTGCGCTCGTAAAGATCAGACACTACCAGCAGATTAGTTCATGCCATTCCACGCGGTTTCGGAAAGAACTTACGAGTCAACCCGTCCAAGAAGAACCCCCCCAAATTCTTCGCCACTCGCTCATATCTAGCCAAGTCATCTTCATTAAGAATCACATTGACCTTGGCTCTGATACCCCGAACATGCGCCATGAACTTGAGGAAGTTCCCTGTTAGGCGGTCTACAAGGACGACCTCCATGTCACCACCCTTCAGCGGTCGGTTGTCAAGACGCATTACATACGTTGGGTCGTTCTCTTGGATGGCCTTTTGAAATCGCTCGGAGTGCTGGTAGAGGAAGGCCACGTGATCCGCGATATCCTCCCAGAAGCCGATGAGCGAGAGAAGCGCAACGCGACACGCTGCCGAATGGTGGACATCGATGGACTGGTGGCCGGGAAGACCACAGACACGACAGCCACCGTATGTAGGACGCGCCAATAGATTGAAGCGGTCGGGGTTTTGTGGAACTTGCTTTGTGCCGGCTGGAGTCAGCTCGCGAACGGCTACTGAGAGCTTCGTGAGCGTTTCGCGAACATAGTCGGCATCATTCGACGTTGGAGATGACATAGTGATTGGGTGCTGTGTGTTAGTGTTGCGTCGTTTGGAGACAGGAAAATCTTGTAAGAGTAATCTGCAGGTCAGTGCTTGCGAGGATCGCTGAAGTTGAGGCCGGTGATAGAGGGGGAAAAGTGCGGTTGTATTAGTAGACTGTGGACGAAGAAGGTTCGATGCAAGACACCGGGGTAGTCACGATCTCACCGCTAACAGTGAGAGAAGGCACGTGCCGGCCAAGGCAGCAGTCACACAGCTGCAGATTGTTTTCTCACGGATCAAGAGACCATAGTGAATCATGTCGCCTCATGAGCATGTGCATGAAGCGTAGAATAGAACAGTTGCTCAAACCCCAGGCGTAAGACCCTCAGGGTACTTTATTGGTATAATACCAGCCGAGGTCACCACCAAGCGGTGCATGTGCGATAAGACGTATCACTCAGTGTGAAGAGGAAGCCTACTACATCTGTCCTGCCATAGCAGGGCTACCGTGGCGTTGATCAAGGTGATCGTAGTTGAGGTCGAACTCTTTCTGTACTCGCGTTAGTGTCTAGTACGTCGTTCATAGGAAGTGCATTGGCAGAGCGGAACACATACCCTTTCTCTCCTCCAGTTCTTAACATCGAAGAATAGATACCATCCGTGTTCCTCTTTTGGCGAAATCCTGATAGGCGCCGCGAGATCTGGATCCTTCATCATCCACTGCTGGAGCTTCATGTGCCACCGCCAATCGCGGTTGTATAGCTCTTGTGCAGCAATTTCTTGCA